AGTAGTAGCAGGTTCACCCGAACGCCATCAGACAATCAAAATTTGGTAAAAACGAAAATAAAAATTTATTTCTTCCAAATTTAATAATTCCAATCATCTAAAAATTACCTGAGTTCTAGTAGGGGCTGAGCCCTACACATTCCTAAAGAATACAAAGTTTTATTTTAATTTTTAAGTAGTAGCAGGTTCACCCGAACGCTATCAGACAATCAAAATTTGGTAAAAACGAAAATAAAAATTTATTTCTTCCAAATTTAATAATTCTAATCATCTAAAAATTACCTGAGTTCTAGTAGGGGCTGAGCCCTACACATTCCTAAAGAATACAAAGTTTTATTTTAATTTTTAAGTAGTAGCAGGTTCACCCGAACGCTATCAGACAATCAAAATTTGGTAAAAACGAAAATAAAAATTTATTTCTTCCAAATTTAATAATTCTAATCATCTAAAAATTACCTGAGTTCTAGTAGGGGCTGAGCCCTACACATTCCTAAAGAATACAAAGTTTTATTTTAATTTTAAGTAGTAGCAGGTTCACCCGAACGCTATCAGACAATCAAAATTTGGTAAAAACGAAAATAAAAATTTATTTCTTCCAAATTTAATAATTCTAATCATCTAAAAATTACCTGAGTTCTAGTAGGGGCTGAGCCCTTTACATTCTTGAAGAATACAAAGTTTTATTTTAATTTTAAGTAGTAGCAGCCTTCACCCGAACGCCATCAGACAATCAAAATTTGGTAAAAACGAAAATAAAAATTTATTTCTTCCAAATTTAATGATTCTAATCATCTGAAAATTACCTGAGTTCTAGTAGGGGCTGAGCCCTACACATTTCTAAAGAATACAAAGTTTTATTTTAATTTTTAAGTAGTAGCAGGTTCACCCGAACGCTATCAGACAATCAAAATTTGGTAAAAACGAAAATAAAAATTTATTTCTTCCAAATTTAATAATTCTAATCATCTAAAAATTACCTAAGTTCTAGTAGGGGCTGAGCCCTTTACGTTCTTGAAGAATACGGGATTTTATTTTAATTTTTAAGTAGTAGCACCCTCACCCGAACGCCATCAGACAATCAAAATTTGGTAAAAACGAAAATAAAAATTTATTTCTTCCAAATTTAATAATTCTAATCATCCAAAAATTACCTGAGTTCTAGTAGGGGCTGAGCCCTACACATTCCTGAAGAATACGGAATTTTATTTTAATTTTAAGTAGTAGCAGGTTCACCCGAACGCTATCAGAAAATCAAAATTTGGTAAAAACGAAAATAAAAATTTATTTCTTCCAAATTCAATAATTCTAATCATCTAAAAATTACCTGAGTTCTAGTAGGGGCTGAGCCCTACACATTCCTGAAGAATACAAAGTTTAATTTTAATTTTTAAGTAGTAGCAGGTTCACCCGAACGCTGTCAGACAATCAAAATTTGGTAAAAACGAAAATAAAAAATTATTTCTTCCAAATTCAATAATTCTAATCATCTAAAAATTACCTAAGTTCTAGTAGGGGCTGAGCCCTTTACGTTCTTGAAGAATACGGGATTTTATTTTAATTTTTAAGTAGTAGCACCCTCACCCGAACGCCATCAGACAATCAAAATTTGGTAAAAACGAAAATAAAAATTTATTTCTTCCAAATTTAATAATTCTAATCATCCAAAAATTACCTGAGTTCTAGTAGGGGCTGAGCCCTACACATTCCTGAAGAATACGGAATTTTATTTTAATTTTAAGTAGTAGCAGGTTCACCCGAACGCTATCAGAAAATCAAAATTTGGTAAAAACGAAAATAAAAATATATTTCTTCCAAATTTAATAATTCTAATCATCTAAAAATTACCTGAGTTCTAGTAGGGGCTAAGCCCTTTACATTCTTGAAGAATACGGGATTTTATTTTAATTTTTAAGTAGTAGCACCCTCACCCGAACGCCATCAGACAATCAAAATTTGGTAAAAACGAAAATAAAAATTTATTTCTTCCAAATTTAATAATTCCAATCATCTAAAAATTACCTGAGTTCTAGTAGGGGCTGAGCCTTACACATTCCTAAAGAATACGGGATTTTATTTTAATTTTTAAGTAGTACAAGGTTCACCCGAACCTTATCAGACAATCAAAATTTGGTAAAAACGAAAATAAAAATTTATTTCTTCCAAATTTAATAATTCTAATCATCTAAAAATTACATGAGTTCTAGTAGGGGCTGAGCCCTACACATTCCTAAAGAATACAAAGTTTTATTTTAATTTTAAGTAGTAGCAGGTTCACCCGAACGCTATCAGACAATCAAAATTTGGTAAAAACGAAAATAAAAATGTATTTTTTCTAAATTTAATGATTCTAATCATCTGAAAATTATCTGAGTTCTAGTAGGGGCTGAGCCCTACACATTCCTGAAGAATACGGAATTTTATTTTAATTTTTAAGTAGTAGCACCCTCACCCGAACGCCATCAGACAATCAAAATTTGGTAAAAACGAAAATAAAAATTTATTTCTTCCAAATTTAATAATTCCAATCATCTAAAAATTACCTGAGTTCTAGTAGGGGCTGAGCCCTACACATTCCTGAAGAATACGGAATTTTATTTTAATTTTAAGTAGTAGCAGGTTCACCCGAACGCTATCAGACAATCAAAATTTGGTAAAAACGAAAATAAAAATTTATTTCTTCCAAATTCAATAATTCTAATCATCTAAAAATTACCTGAGTTCTAGTAGGGGCTGAGCCCTACACATTCCTGAAGAATACGGAATTTTATTTTAATTTTTAAGTAGTAGCACCCTCACCCGAACGCCATCAGACAATCAAAATTTGGTAAAAACGAAAATAAAAATTTATTTCTTCCAAATTTAATAATTCCAATCATCTAAAAATTACCTGAGTTCTAGTAGGGGCTGAGCCCTACACATTCCTTAAGAATACAAAGTTTTATTTTAATTTTTAAGTAGTAGCAGGTTCACCCGAACGCTATCAGACAATCAAAATTTGGTAAAAACGAAAATTAAAATGTATTTCTTCTAAATTTAATGATTCTAATCATCTGAAAATAACCTGAGTTCTAGTAGGGGCAGAGCCCTACACTTTCCTAAAGGATACAAAGTTTTATTTTAATTTTAAGTAGTAGCACCCTCACCCGAACGCCATCAGACAATCAAAATTTGGTAAAAACGAAAATAAAAATTTATTTCTTCCAAATTTAATAATTCTAATCATCCAAAAATTACCTGAGTTCTAGTAGGGGCTGAGCCCTACACATTCCTAAAGGATACAAAGTTTTATTTTAATTTGTAAGTAGTAGCAGGTTCACCCGAACGCTATCAGACAATCAAAATTTGGTAAAAACGAAAATAAAAATTTATTTCTTCCAAATTTAATAATTCCAATCATCTAAAAATTACATGAGTTCTAGTAGGGGCTGAGCCCTACACATTCCTAAAGAATACAAAGTTTTATTTTAATTTGTAAGTAGTAGCAGGTTCACCCGAACGCTATCAGACAATCAAAATTTGGTAAAAACGAAAATAAAAATGTATTTCTTCCAAATTTAATGATTCTAATCATCTAAAAATTACCTGAGTTCTAGTAGGGGCTAAGCCCTACACATTCCTGAAGAATACGGGATTTTATTTTAATTTTTAAGTAGTAGCACCCTCACCCGAACGCCATCAGACAATCAAAATTTGGTAAAAACGAAAATAAAAATTTATTTCTTCCAAATTTAATAATTCCAATCATCTAAAAATTACCTGAGTTCTAGTAGGGGCTGAGCCCTACACATTCCTTAAGAATACAAAGTTTTATTTTAATTTTTAAGTAGTAGCAGGTTCACCCGAACGCTATCAGACAATCAAAATTTGGTAAAAACGAAAATAAAAATGTATTTCTTCCAAATTTAATGATTCTAATCATCTGAAAATTACCTGAGTTCTAGTAGAGGCTGAGCCCTACACATTCCTAAAGAATACAAAGTTTTATTTTAATTTTTAAGTAGTAGCACCCTCACCCGAACCCCATTAGACAATCAAAATTTGATAAAAACGAAAATAAAAATGTATTTCTTCCAAATTTAATGATTCTAATCATCTGAAAATTACCTGAGTTCTAGTAGGGGCTGAGCCCTACACATTTTTGAAGAATACGGGATTTTATTTTAATTTTTAAGTAGTAGCACCCTCACCCGAACCCCATCAGACAATCAAAATTTGGTAAAAACGAAAATAAAAATTTATTTTTTCCAAATTTAATAATTTCAATCATCTAAAAATTACCTGAGTTCTAGTAGGGGCTGAGCCCTACACATTTTTGAAGAATACGGGATTTTATTTTAATTTCTAAGTAGTAGCACCCTCACCCGTACGCCATCAGGCAATCAAAATATAAAATAGAATTAAAATGAAAGTTTAATTTTCAAAATTGCAGGAAATTTACTACTAAACTTTGCCTCAAGCTTACTTAATAAGCTTACTGTACTTCAAAATGAAGCTTGCAGAAAGCTTTCTGCAATTTTCCACAGTGTCTAGAAAAGGAAAAAGGTTTTAAAATATATTTAATTCTAAGAATTGCAGAAAATTAACAGCGCAACTTTGGGAGAATCTTCCGTAGTAAATAAATAATAAATAATAATAATAATAATAATAATAATAATAATAATAATAATAATAATAATAATAATAATAATAATAATAATAATAATAATAATAATAATAATAATAATAATAATAATAATTGCTGGGTAAATAAATTTTCTTCTTAAAAGAAGAAAAATTTTATTTTTTTTTCAAAAGAAGAAAAAATTAAAAACAAAAATTTAATTAATTTAATTAATAAATAAAAATAAAAATTGAAATATCTAAAAATTTGAACGGAGCCTAAAGTGAAATTCAGTGTTTGCTTCAAAAGAAGCTTAAGGCTATGCGTGACTGCAAACTGCGCACAGCCATAAACTTTGTCGAATATGAACATCAGGTTAATGTTTGTAGGAAAGAAGCTACCGTGCGGCAATGGAAGATACGAACACAAATAAACCTTTGCCACAACTTTCACTTTAACATAGCTGACAATTAGTTTCTCATCACGTGTAGTTAGCTTTGACGTGTCAAATTTTAATTCACTTATTTGCAGCGTCAAAAAAGTTATTATAAAAAAAGAAGAAATTTTACATTTTTTTTATAAAATCATTTGTTATTTAATCGAAAAAAATATTAATTTGGAGAAATAGTTTTTCTAACTAGTCGAAAAAAATGATGAAATCTATTATATTAATTGGGGGACCCTCCAAAGGTATGTTGATGTTTATAAAAATTAATTTTTATACTTGGAACTTTTTTGCTTTTAAGAATAATCTGTTGTTAATGATTTTTTCACTAATTTATTTAATTAAGATATCTTTATCTAATTAAATATGAACAACTTTAAAATTAAAATATATTAAGGTTCAAATTATTATTTAAATTATTATTCTTAGACTTGGATTATTTAGATTATTTCTTAGATTATTCTTAGAATTATTATTTTTATTAAAATTTTATTAATGAATATTATTATCAATATTAATAAAAATAAAGATTAATATTGCTTTTTGTTAAAACCGCGTCTTTTGGTAATAACGATCTTAATACGATTTTTGTGTTTAAAATTTACTTTGGCCGTATTTAGGCCTCTTTTTACAAAAAAAGAATAATTTTGGATATTTAAACAATATTTATAAATAAAAAATTTGTTTATTGCAGTTTAAATTTTATGGATTATAATTTATTATGTAATTCAATGTAATGTTGTCTAGTGTACACTGGAATAAAGACAATATATTTGAATCAAACATAATTATCTTTGTTATACAGTCAACCAAAAATTATTTTTGATATAATATTCAAGTCAAACCTATTTTTTTGATTGGTTACTTAATTTCTTTGTTATAAAGTCAACCAAAAATTATTTTGGATATAATATTTCAAGTCAAACATATTTCTTTAATTGGTTACTTAATTTTGGATTAAAAAGAGATTTTTTTCAATGTATAATGTAATATTATTGAAATAATATAAATAAAATTAATTTTGAAAATTAAAAACTATTACAGGTACAAGATTCCGTCCACTTTCGCTCGATGTTCCAAAGCCCTTATTCCCAATAGCGGGACTGCCAATGATTCAACATCACATTGAGGCTTGTTCGAAAATGGAAAATTTAAGTGAAATTTTAATAATTGGCTCGTATCCGGCTTCGGAATTTTATCATTTTGTCCAAGAAATGATAAGTCTTTATTCATTGTCAATTCGTTATTTACAAGAATTCACACCACTTGGCACTGCCGGTGGAATGTATCATTTTCGTGATCAAATTATTTCTGGTAATACAAAATATTTTTTCATAATGAACGGCGATGTTTGCGCTAATTTTCCACTTAAGGAATTATTTGAATTTCATAAGAATAAAAATTCCTTGTTCACAATAATGGCAACTGAGACAACAAGAAAACAATCGTCAAATTATGGATGTATTGTTGTGGGTAAAAAAGGTGAAGTCAATCATTATGTTGAAAAACCATCGTCCTTTGTCTCGTCGTTAATTAATTGTGGTGTTTATATTACATCGCCGGATATTTTTCAAACAATGTCCGATGTATTTTTCACTAGGCAAGAGAAGAAAAATATTGGGTAAGTTTTATAATATTACTGTTTGAATATAGAAATTTATTTCTTTACACTTAAAAAAAGTTGATATTTAACTTCAGTTGAGGATTTACAGTCGGACCTGTTGGAATGCAATTTGTTTGTATTCAAAAATGCCCAACAAGAATTACTTTCACTGAGTTTCAGAATATTGTAAAACTATTACAAAATTAAATTATAAAACAATTTTTTTCGGGATTGTTTACTGCATAATAAAATTTTAAAAATCGAGTTGCATTCCAACAGGTTTTACTGTATTGAATTATTGAGAGTATAGTTGAAAAGTAGGTAGCCAAATGTACTAGAATTTTCTTTAGTAACTTTATGATGAATGAAATATTTTTTTAGCGAATATCTGAATGGCAGTGGTAAGGATCCAGCTCACATTTCTTTAGAAGAAGATATACTGTTAAAATTGGTTGCCACTAATCAGATGTATGCGTTACCGGTGACAAATTGGTGGTCACAGGTGAAAACTGCTGGTGCTGCTATTTACGCAAATCGACATTATCTCACGCTGTATCGGCAAAAAAAACCTGAACTATTAGCACCAAATGAAGATTTTGATAATAGAATTATTGGCGACGTTCATATTCATCCTACAGCTTTGGTTGACTCCACAAGTGTGGTAAGATTGCTTGATTGGCGAGAAAAATGTTTCTCGACGCTCAGCGTCGACGCCAAATTCAGAAACCTAATTTTAAAAAAATAATTAAAAAAAAAAAATTAGGAAAATAAAAAAATCATTTAGATAAAAAATCTTTATATTTCAGTTGGGGCCTAATGTCAGTATAGGGCCGAAAGCATTCATCGGCCCTGGGGTAAGAATACGAGAGTCAATTGTCCTCGGGAATGCGCAAATTGAAGCTCATTCTGTTGTTTTGCACAGTATAATTGGTAAAAATAGTTTTATTGGAAAGTGGGCCCGAGTCGAAGGCACTCCTTGTGATCCAAATCCAAATAAACCTTTCGCTAAAATGGAGAATTCTCCGCTATTTAACAATAATGGAAAACTCAATCCAGCGATTACAATTCTCAGTGAGTAAACTATTAATATTTAAATTTGTTTTTTTTAAATGGTAAAAAATATGAAATACTATTTTTCCGATTAGGTTCTGCGCATCATTTTCGTTGCGCACAACCCAAATGAAAGGAAAGCACGTAAAAAGTAAGAGAGGGATACGATTCGCGCATGCGCAATATTTTGTAAAATGAACTAAGAAGCTTGGGGCAGTTCTGCGCAGGCGCGAATCAAGAGAGAAAATGTATCTATCTTTCTCTTACTCGATATAAAGATACTTTATAATGAAGAAGAAAATTTAACACACAATTTTTTTCCGCAATGCAAATTAAACCGTATTTTCAACTATACGGTATTTAAATAAATATCGTTTGGTATTTATTATTTATAGTATTTATTTATTTAAAAAGCTTTCTTATTTGTCAGGTACAAACGTGAGTTTATCAGCGGAAAAAATTCTTCTCAATTCCGTCGTACTGCCTCATAAGCAGCTCACCAGAAACTTCAAGAACGAAATTATTCTTTAGGTTCGAATAAAATATGTCCCCCTCAGTTAAAAAAGGGGAAAGAAAGCGTAACAATTTTTTTTTCCAAATATTAAAGTTAAAAACTGTATTGTAAATACATATTATATACTCCATTTTATGCCACCTAATTTCAATATGTATAAATAAAAAATTTGTAGCATACCTAATGTTCATAGTAGAAAAATTTTTTTATAATTTTATGAAAAATTTTATTAATTTAAGAAAAGAAATTAATCTAAGAGAAAAATTTATTAACTTATAAACTTTATTAAAATTAAAGCGACTATTATATAAAAATTCTAAACTTTATAACTAAACTTTATAATGTAAAGAAAACGTAGTTAAAAATTATATAGAGGTAAATAATATATATTATTATAATGTACAAGAAACTATATTTAATATTTGTAAATAATTACTCGATTGCGATTATTGTTTGAAAATTTTGAAGTGAAAAAATCGAAAATTGTGTTCAAATAGTGAAATGATAAATGTTTTTTATATTGATTTTATATTTACGAAATTTTTAATCTTTGTTTGCGTAGAAATTTTGCAAACATTTTTTTTTATGAGACTTTCAGTGTTTTCTTATACAATTCAAGACTTTAAATAGGTTGTAAATATAATCTTTATACAACAGCTGAATGAAAATTGTACTCTAGATAGAAATTTTTATTTATTTCATTTAATTAATATGTTATAAAAGATTAGAAGAAAATATAATTTATTAACAAAAAATGTAATTCTAATTTAAAATTTTTTTGTTATTAAATTTTAATAGAAAAAAATTGTAATTAATAGCTACTTCTTCTGTTGTGAAAAAAAGGAAGTTAAAAAATAATTTTTTTCGATTAGAGGAAAATTTTAACTTCTTTTGTTATTAATTTTCGAAAAAATATATAATTTACACCTCTTCTGTTATTAAATTTTAATCAGAAAAAATTAAAAATTAACACTTTTTCTGTTTTATTAAATTTTAATCGAAAATAAATGTTTAATTTATTTTCGTGAACGCATAAAAAATTGATATTATTGTCGTTATTTGTTATTTTTAGTCAAACATTTGGCATTCGAAACAAAATATTTATTATTTTATATGGAAAAAAATTATTTTTCCTCTTTATGTATTGAAATATTCTTGTAGAAAAAATGAACTGAAAAATATATAGATATTTGTTACAAAACTATACATGAATTATTATTCAACGGAACATTTTCTGCTACGAATTTTTTGTTTAAAAACTTTTTTTTTTGTTATAAAAAAATAATTTTAACTCTAAAAAAATTTTTTTTATTATAAAAAAAAAATATATTTTGTTTGAAGAAATATTTTTTTTGTTAAAAGTCAGTTTTCAGTCAAAAAAATATAGTTATGTTTGTAAAAGAAATTAATATTCGAAAAAAATAAGTTTTGTTAAAAAAAATTTTTTTTGTTCTAAAAGAATATTTTTTGCAGGAAAAAATATTCTTATTTGTGTCCGAAAAAATGTTTTTTATTGAAAAAAATTATTTTTATTACAAGAGAATATTTATTTAAGAAATAAATTTTCAATGTAGATTTCAATAAAATTGAGAAATGTTTTATTACAGTGAAACCTCGATAAGTGAGACAAGTGGTTTAATTATCATTTCAATTAATTCAACGAAACATTTTCTTCCACGAATTTTTGGTTTAAAATTTTTTTTTTGTTGTAAAATGATATTTATAACTCTAAAAAAATTTGTCTATTATTAAGAAATATATTTTGTTCGAAAAAATACTTTTTTTTGTAAACAAAATAATTTTTATTCTAAAAGAATTTTTTTGGTCTAAAAGAATAATTTTTCTATGAAAAAATTGCCTATTTCTTTTCGAAAAAATAATGTTCTAAAAACAAAAAAATAATTTTTATTCTAAAAAAATATTTTTATTATAAAAAAATAATTTTTTTTGTTCGAAAAGAATGTTTTTTATGTGTAAAAAAATATATTTGGTTTGAAAAAATATTTTTTATATAAAAAAACCATTCTTATTCAAAGATAATATTTATTCAGGATACAAATGTTTTATTACAGTCAAACCTCGATAATAGAGACAAACGGTTTATTTGATCATTTGATTTAATTCAACGAAATATTTTCTGCTACGAATTTTTGTTTTATAAGTTGTTTGTTGTTGTAAAAAGATATTTTTAATTTTGAAAAAAAAATTTTTGTTATACAAAATTATATTTTGTTTGCAAAAATACTTTTGTTTGTAAACAAAATAATTTTTATTCTGAAAGAATATTTTTTCTATGAAAAAATTGCTTATTTCTTTTCCAAAAAATATTGTTCTTTAAGAAAAATAATTTTTATTATAAAATAATATTTTTGTTAGGTAAAAAAATATTTTTCTTTTTTCGAAAAGAATGTTTTTTGAGTGGGAAAAATATGTTTTGTTTAAAAAAAGTATTTTTTTTTGTGTTCGAAATAATATTTTTTGTTTAAAAAAATCATTTTGTATTCCAAGATAATATTTATTTGAGAAAAAAATTTTCAATGTAGATTTCAATAAAATTTAGAAATATGTGATTTTTATAAAATTTAGAAAAATGATTTATTACAGTCAAACCTCGATAAGTGAGACAAAGCTGTTTATTTGAATCCATACAAAAAAATATAATTTTGTCCCGAATAAGTATCTTAGAAACTAATGAAAAAAGAATTTAAGAAATGATAACAAAAATTTTAAATATTCATTTCGTTGAATAAATTAATTCTAAAGATCGTAATTTTTATCAAAGAAAAAAAAAATTTATATCACTTATGAAATATCACTTTTTGGATAAATCAATCTTTAATAATTAGAGCCACGATAAATTTTCTTTTCTTAAAATATTTTCGACGTTCCTTTCAGCGTTCATTGTGAATAAAAAAAAAATTGAAAGGATTTTTGAAGAAAAGAGAAGAAATGGCTTTTCTTAAAATTAATATCAAAAGAAAACGTTTTTCAAGTGTTGGAATTCATATAATAAGCGTGCAAAAATTGTAAAGCACATTTTTCATAAATATACATGTATAGTATATAAATATATATACACTGAACCCTGCGCAAGTTCAATAAAGCGCACGCTCTGCAATCGCAGCATCACAGTTCAATCTTTGCTCAGTACCAAAATTTCTTACGCTGAAAGAAGACAGGTCACATACAATTTTTTCGTATAGGGACCTCTCTTTTACAATCATGATTATATTCTACTATAATTGTTAGAATAGAATTCTTGGAATTTTTACATTTTTCATTGAAAATTTAATGACAAGAAGAAAAAAAGAAGAAGACAAAAATAAAAAAAAAACAATAAATAATATGTTCAAATTAAAAAATAATTTTAATATAATAATTGTATAAATAATATTGTGAATGAGGCAAGTGTCTATGAGCTGTTATTACAATGGCAGACGACCATATGTACGATGATGAGGTAATTTTTTTTTCTCTATTAAATTTAGTTTGTTTATAGAAGAAATTATCGTTTTATTTGAATTCTATAATTATAGTAAATAAATTAATAGGTAAATAAATAACGTGTTCAATTTAAAACAAAGAAATAGTTCATTTTAATTTTTTTTTTTATAATGTTTATTTATGTTTTATATCAATTCGAAAAGATATTATTGAAAATTCCAATTAAGATAATTTATTTACAAAAGAAATAAACAATGAGATATTTTATTTCCGTTTTTCGATTCAATTGGACATTTTTACAGACCGTTTACTTTGTACCGTTTTGCATTTTTTAATTTTTGTTTTTAATTTTTTCTTCTTTTGAAAAAAAATAAAATTTTTCTTCTTTTAAAAAGAAAATTTATTTACCTACCAGCAATTATTATTAGTATTATTATTATTATTATTATTATTATTATTATTATTATTATTATTATTATTATTATTTTTCTTTATTTTTATTTTTTTATTCATATTACGTATTTTTATTTATATTTTGTAATAAAAAGACTACGGAAAAAATATTTACCTGGAACAGCTATAAGTTTCTTTAAAATAGCGAAAATCTTTACTAACTAAAAATTTCGCTATATTAAAGTGAAATTTGTACCTTTTCCAGGTAAAATTTTTTTTCGAGCATTATATTACAAAATAATTAAAAAAAGACGGTTTTAACAAAATAATAATTACTATTGTTACTATTATTATTATGAAAATAATAATTTTACTTTTATTATTTTAATTATCAACTTTTATAATCAGTTTTAAGCTTCGACGAATATATAATTATTTTATTATTATTATCATTATTAATATTATTAACATTATTATTAAGACAATTTTACTTATAGCTTTGAGATTGAGATTTAAATTTTAAATTTAAGTTTATACAAGTTTGTAAAAAGAGAATAATTTTTAAGGAAAAAAAATTCTGCACTTATAGCTGCTGAAGTTTACTTTTGAAAAAGAAATGAATTTTTAAATGAGTCTTTCGGAGAAAAGAGTTTATTTTCCTTTATAAAACAATCTTGTTCATGAATTTAAACTATACATTAAAGAACAAGAGCTGAAAGTTCTAACTTTGAACTTTTGTTTATTTTAATAAACTTCACATATTACATATTTATGTACCGGTTTTTGTAAAAATATTCTTCTTTTAATTTATATACATATATTATATTTTTATTATTATATTATTTTTTATTATTCCTATTTTTCATTAGAATATTGTTTTCTATTATTACTATTATTATTATTATTATTATTATTATTATTATTATTATTATTATTATTATTATTATTATTATTATTATTATTATTATTATTATTATTATTATTATTATTATTATTATTATTATTATTATTACTATTTATTATTTTAAGTAAAAAAATTAGAATTTTTAGTTGTTTTAATTTTAATATTTAAAATTAATTTTTTTTTAAAATAAAATTTACTTATTATAAATATAAAAAACGGTCAGTAAATTCATGAAAGATAAAAATTATTAATTTTTACCATACAATTTTTTTATTATTTTCAATTTGCGATTTTCAACTATTATTATTCTGTTATACATCTATTATTTTATTGATCTAATTTTCTACTATTTTATTTAATCAATTTTTCTATTGTTTATTATTTTGTTCTTTAAATTATTAACGGATATTAAAAAAAACCTTTCTTTCTTGTATTTCTAATAAGCAAAAAATAAATTTTATTTTCATTTATTTATATTTATAATTTTAATTATTTTTAAATTTAAACACTGAATATTTCACAAACACTGCACTGGAAATAATATTGTTTCACACACTTTAACATTTCTTTGTGGTAAATTTTTATTTTTTCACTTGTTTTACCTTTTATAAGGAAAACTCGATACAATATTATATAATTGAGTTTTTCTCACACTGAAATAATTTTTTCGTTTATTTTTTGTGGTAAATTTTTCTATTTTTTTTATCTGTAAGGAAAACTTGATTCAAATTTTATGCAATTAACAGTTTTTTCACTTTTAAAATTTAAAAATTCTGTTGTAAATTTTAAATCAATAATTATATTCACAAGACTTTTGGATTTATGAAAATAAATTCAGAAGTCTTGTGAATATTTATTGAATATTTATTAAAATAAACAAATAAATAAATAAAAGAAGAATGTATAAAATAAATTTTATATAATTAACCGTTAAACTTGTAATAAATAAATAAATAAATAAAATAAAATGAAACAAAGTTTTTTTTTCAATGAAATATCACAAAAATAGCTGTAGTTTTGTATTATTTTTTTTACCTTTTTTTTTGGTAAATAAATAAAAAAATATCAGAAATTATTAAAGAACTGCCTTTTTTTTAGTTTGTAAAAATTTTTTTTTGTTTAAAAAAAAAGTATTTTTATTGATTGAAAATTTTTTTTGGAATGAAAGTAAATAATTTCTTTTTCTAAATTTTGTAAATTGAAGAAAATTGTGTTAACAATGTTTTTATTCTTATTTTCGAAACACAGGGGTGGAGGGGGGAATAAACAAATTTATTAAATAAGCCTACATTTACTTTGGTCCGATTGTCTATCTCGGAACACTCGGCTTGAACTTCTATCGATTTAAGTAGCAGTGCTACAATTGAGTCAGCCGCCACCGCTATATGACTTGCCTAGATATTGCAGAGACTGAAAGTTCCACTGTAAAAGCTGTGAGGCCGTCAAGCATTTTATTGGACAAGCTCTTAATTAAGCTGAACGCTATCCAATTACCGTTCAATTTTCTCCCAAAAAATTGCATTATTATTATTATTATTTTTTTTTTTAAAAAGTAAATTTAAAAATTTTTTCTGTCAACAAATTTTCGGAAAAAAAATCTTTATAATTCACGATTGCAGTTTTTTTATGTAACAATTTTCTGCTTATTTAGTTTTTTTGGTAGTTAAATAAAATAGGTTTTGTATTTATATATCTACTGAAACCTACTATTTACTATACTTTTTTCTAAAATTTAATATTATTTAGATACTTTTTTTGTGACACTAAAAGATACTTTTTTCTGTTTTAGAATTTGTACTACTTTAAATTTGTAGATATAGTTGGAATAAACAAATTATTCTCAAAAATTAAAAAAAAAATTTATTTTTTATTTTATTATTTATTTTTTATTATTTTTATGTTTCAAATAAAAATTTAAAACATTTTAATAAAATTTTTTTCAAGCGATTCAATTATTTTCAAAAATTTTTCAAAATTCACTTAATTTCATAAATATGTTCCTAAAATTCTTCTTATAAATTGAATTATTTTTTAAAATTTTTAATAAAATTCGTTACAAAAATTCAATTATTTTCATAAATATAATAAAACACATCGCAGGATTTCAATAATTATTTTTAATACAAGATTAAATTAATTTCTCAAAGAATGCAATTATTCTTAAAAATTATATTAATATTCTTCGAAAAAATTAAATTATTTTAAAAAAATATTGGAAATAATTTGTTTATTAGAATTTAATAATTACTTTCAATAGATTTTTGACTAAATTTATTTTAAGATTGTAATTATTCTCAAAATCTTTATTGAAATTCTTAGAAACAATAACATATTTTAAGAAAATTCTTTCAAACGATTCAATTATTTTAAAAAAATTTTCGAAATTTAATTATTTTCAATATTTATTATATTAATAAAAAAATTTCCTAAAAGAATTCAATTATTTTTTAAAGTTCTAATAAAATTCTTGACAAACATTCAATTATTTCCATATAATATAATGAAATTTTCACAGGAATCCAATTATTTAAAATTCAATTTTCATAAAATTTTTCGAAAAAAGTCAATTATTTAAAAATATTTTCATAAAATTTTTTGCTAGAATTCAATTATTCGTATAAATAATAAAATTCTTCTCAGGAACTCAATTATTTAAAACACAATTTTCATAAACTTTTTCGAAAAAAATTAATTATTCAAAAAAAATTTTTACAAAATTCTACACAAGTATTCAATTATTTTTATAAATAATAAAATTTTCAATTTCTTCTATTTTTCTACTATTTTCTACTATTTTCTACTATTTTAATAAAAAATTTCCTATAAAAATTCAATTATTAAAAGAAAATTTTTTTAGGAAATTCGTTGCAAACGTTCAATTATTTTCATAAATATTAAAAATGTCACAGGAATTCAATTATTTAAATCACAATTTTCACAAAATTTTTCGAAAAAAATCAATTATTTAAAAAGATTTTTATACAATTCTTCGAAAAAATTCAATTATTTTTAATTTTATAAGTAAGAAAATTCTTCTCAGAAATTCAATTATTTTTAAAAATTTTATTAAAATTCATTGCAAGAATTCAATTATTTTGAAAAGTTTTTCAAAATTCAATTATTTTCAATATTTACTATTTAAAAAAAAAATTCCTATAAAAATTCAATTATTTAAAGAGAAAATTTTTTATGAAATTCGTTGCAAACATTCAATTATTTTCATAAATTTTAATAAAATTTGTTGCAAGAATTCAATTATTTTTACAAATAATAAAACTCATCGCAGAATATCAATTATTTTTAATACAATTTTAAATGAATTTTAGTATTTTCAAAAATTTTAAATAAAATTCTTATTTATAAAAATTCAATTATTTTCAAAAATTTTGACAAAGCTCTGTATAAGAATTAAATTTTACGAAATATTCAGTCATTCAATAAATTGTTTATTTTCTTATTAAAATAATTGATTCTTGTAGATATTTCTAATAAGAATTGATTTTAAATTGAATTTCAGTTATAAAAAAATAATTAAATATTAGATGCGTTATAGTGGAAATTTTTGAAAACAATAATAAAATTAAAAAAAATAATAAAATATTTTAAAATAAAAATCTTTGAAAATGGTAATTGTTCTAAAGGGGTATGAATATTAAAATTTTTATTTTGATATAGAATGATTAAAGTTTTGAATAATTTTTATTTAATAAATATTAACA